CTGCCCTGCCTGGCCAGGGTACCCAGGGTAATAGGCTCCTGGGTACACCCCGTTGGTTGGACCCATAGGATACTGCAGGGAATATGCACTGTAGGGATACTGGGGGCCTTGCCCAGAGGCACGAGGGTAATAATAGGGATTGTCAGAGTTTTGGAATTTATAGTAGGAGGGTTGGGCCTGGCGGGCTTCCCCCCAGGAGGTGGGGCTCACTTCATCATCCGTGTCTAGGAAGTGAAGCTGAGCAGTCTGGCTCTTCAGGGCGGGTTTTTGGTCCGGGTTGTTTGGGTCCCACAGGCGGCGGGCAGTGCCACCTCGGCCCCGGCTCCGGGGCCCTTTGTTGCCAGCCCCGCCCAGCAGGAGCCTGGGCCCGGGGTGAGTGGCTTCAGGGACACCCACGGAGCTGGCAGAGAGGTCCGTGTTGGCAGGCAGGAACAGAATCCCACGGCCCCTCCCTTGGGGCTCCCTGCTCTGGCTCCTCGCCTCCGAAACCTCCAAGGCCTTCAGGGACTTTTTTTTATCTGTATCTGCCAGGCTGATGTCCCTGTTCATGGTCCTGCTGTCAAATGTCACTCGAAAGGGTCCCTTGACTTCCCTGCCATTGCTGCTCCATTCACTCTCACTCCTGGAAGCTCGGCTCTGCTCCGAATGCCTTCTCCTGTCCGAATTCCTGCTGGACACGTACACCTCAGCCTCATCAATCCTCTCATCGTCCAGGGAGTCTGTGGAGGACACGGACAGCTGCTTCCTAGGACGTATCCTTTCCCTGGCACGCTCCTGCCTCCTCTCCACCCCATCCACGAGCAGGGCTCCGTCCGTGCTGTTGTTGCTCCCAGCTGAGCTGGTGCTGCAGGTGCGGTACCGGCTGCGCCGCTTGTCCGTGCGGGAATAGCGCTTGGTGGAGCCCAGCTTCCCCGGCAGCACCTCATCCCCCGCCCTCCTCACCCTGTCACCTCGCTCTGCTCGCCTCCCTTTATCCCCCCTGGAGGCTTTCACTGCTTCCCCTGCCTGGCTCCCCTCTCTGTCCTCCTTGCTCGATTTAATTTTCCTGTTGTTGTCTTTTCCGGTGCCTTTCTCAGCCTCCTCATCTCCCTCGACCTTCAGCTGCTCCATCCTCCCGGTGATCTCCTCGCTGGCCGACTGCAGGGAGGGTTCTTTAGCAGCAGAGTGCAGGCGTTTCCCAGGCTGGTAGATCTGTTGGTCTGGCTTCTTGGTTCTCCTGGGGGTCTTTGGACACCACTCATCCACGATGGGCTGCTTGGATGAGTTTTCCTGGCTTTGCAGGCCGCCTTTGGTCTCTGTGTCTTCCTTTTCCTGTGAAGGACCGTTCTGCTTGGGGCCATCGCTTTTGTCACAGTCCTCCAGAGCTGGAGCTCCCACTCCCACAGAGTCCTTGTCCCCAGCACTCTCCTCCTTGTTCTCCTCAGCTCTGCTCCTTTCCTTCTCCGAGGCCTCCTGCTTTGGTGACACAAGTTTGCTCCTCAGTCTGGAGAGGCCAGGCTTGTAAATCTCCTGGTCTGGGCGCCTGTTGTCTTTGCGATGCCTCGGCTCCTTCACCTCCTTCATGTTTTCTGGGGAAAACAGACAGGAGAAAGTTACTCCCAGGGACCAAAAAATACCATGATAAATACTCAAGTCAAGGTAAAGAGCTTGCCTGATCTGAAAATCTACATCAATATTTAGGAGAAATCACAGAGAAAGAGTAGAAAATGAGAAAGTCTAACACAGCTAGCCAAATCCTTGGCCTTGAGCCATTCACAAATCCCATCCTGCAACAGGCTTTTCCTCAAAGCACAACACCAGGCTTGAGCACAAGCATCAAGAGTAAAGTTGTATCACGGCAGGTTCAGCAACAGTCACCAGCCCGCCGTGGGTGCGGGAGCTGCGATCCGCAGCAGCGCCCGCTCTGCCACCGGACCGTTTGAGTCAAAGACGCCTTTCCCCCTTGCTCACAATCCGGTAACGTTCCTTTCCTCCTCCTTTAACCGTATTTACAAAAAAAAAAAAAAAGAAAAAAAAAAAATTCGTTACAGAGCCCAGGCCGCACCCCGCACGGTTAACCGACCCACCGAAGCCGGGCTGCTCCCCGCTGCATTCCCTAAACTTTCTCCCTGTCCGTCCCGCAGCCCCGAACCCCCGCCGGTACCGGGGGCTCGGCCCGGAGGACCCCGAGGGGCTGGGACCGACCATCCCGGGGCAAAGCCGCTCCGGCTGCCGCCGCCCGCCGCGCAGCCCCGCCGTTCTCGGTGCCGTGCGCTCCCACCCCGGACAGCCCCGTGCGGGGCGGCAGCTCTGCCCCAAGCCCTACCCCAGGCGCAGCGCGGCCGCGGGGCCGTGCGCGGCCGCGGGCAGCCGCCTCTGCGCGGAAGGAACGGCCCAGCGGCGGGTCGCGAGTGCCCCCGGCGCCCCTCACCTCGGCCGCCGCCGGCCGCGCGGGCCTGCGCCGCCACCATGTCCCGCAGCTCGGCGGCCGAGACGCGGACGCGCTCCAGCCCCTCCGCCATCTTGGCTGCGCCGGGGGGCGGGCGGCGCCGACGGCGGCCGCGCAGGGACAAACCGCCGGCGCGGCCGCGCGCAGGCGCGCACGGGAGCGCGCACATGGCCGCGCTGGGGCTGGGCGAGGTGCGGGATGCGGAGCGGCGGCTGCGGGGCCGCGTCCATCGCACCCCGCTGCTCACCTGCTCCGCGCTGGACCGCATGGCCGGCAGGAGGCTGCTGTTCAAGTGCGAGCTCTTGCAGAAGACCGGATCCTTCAAGGTGCGCAGGGATGGCGGCACCGCGAAGCCCCGGGGCAAAGGTCGCTTTTTGCCAGAGGGAAATTCGCGTTGCGGCGACACGCAGCGGCTCCTGCCCCCTGCACGGGTGCTGCCCGGGGCTCGGGGAGTGGTGTGAGGAGGACAGAGCCCAGCACACACAGCCCTGCGCTCTCCCTCCAGATCCGCGGTGCGCTGAACGCGGTGCGGAGCCTGGTGGAGGAAAGGCAGCGCACGGGCCGGGAGCTGCCCCGCGCTGTGGTGACACACAGCAGCGGCAATCACGGCCAGGCACTGGCCTGTGCTGCCCAGGCAGAAGGTAACCTGTACCCCCGAGAGGCAGGCACGGGGTAAATGCAGAGCTGGTTCCATTGGAGAGGCCGGAGATCCCTCTCCTGAACCCATGCAGCAGCTGGCACAGGCAAGGCATTGCCTGCTCCTGCAGTTTGAACTGGCTGCTGTGGCTTTTGGGCTGTTGGATTGACTTCCTCTCTCATGCCACAGGGATTCCTGCCTACATCGTGGTGCCTCGGACTGCCCCACAGTGTAAGCAAGATGCCATTCGTGCCTATGGTGCCACACTGGTGCCATGTGACCCCAATGACAAGGTAAGGCACAGGGAGATGGCCAGGGACGCTGCCCAGCCAGAGTGAGAGGTGACTGCTGTGCTCTCCCTTAGTCCAGAGCTGAGACAGCATCCAGTGTAGTCCAGGAGACAGGAGGAGTCCTGGTGCACCCCAACCAGGAGCTGGCAGTGATTGCAGGGCAAGGCACCATCGCCCTGGAGGTGCTGGAGCAGGTGAGGGAAATGCACAGCCCAGCCCCTGCAGGGGCACAGCAAAAAGGGAGACACAAAGTGTCAGAAGCCCTCACATTTCCTTCCTGCACAGGCACCCCAGGTAAATGCAGTGGTGGTTCCCGTTGGAGGTGGAGGAATGGTTGCAGGAATAGCAGTCGCCATCAAGGTAGGCAACAGCTCATCCAGGAATCTCCCTGTGGGGAGGGCAGGGCTCTCAAGGCAGGCAGCAGCTTTTAACTTTAGAAACAGAAAGACCCTGCAGTGAAAGTCTGCATGGCAGGAGCAGCAGGGCCTGCTTAGCCCCCTGCGCACACAGAAACAGGGGACAGGCACACACTGGTGTCACCCAAGTGGCTCCCCCTGCTCTCCCCAGGCTTTGAGGCCAGATGTGAAGGTGTTTGCTGCTGAGCCAAGCAATGTGGATGACTGTTACCAGTCCAAGGTCCGAGGGGAGCTGACCCCCAACCTCCACCCCCGGGACACCATCGCAGACGCAGTAAAAACCAGCATCGGACCCAACACGTGGCCCATCATCAGGGATTTGGTTGATGATGTCCTGACAGTCTCAGAGGAAGAAATCAAGGTAAAGGCTCCCAGCTCCCTTCTCACGATAGCTGCCAGCAGGCAGCTGCCTCCACCCCTGCCCTGCCGCTCTGCTCTCACCCCAACACACTCCCAGAGCAGCTCAAGTCCCTGTGCACCACTGCAGCTGTGACACCCACGCTGTCTCCAGCTGGAAAGGGCTGTTGGGAGCTCTGCCCTCCCTTCCCAGAGTGCTGCAGGGATGTCCCGGAGCAGCCTGTGCTGGCTGCTGGGCTGACAGCTGCTGCCCTGTCCCGACAGCGAGCCACGTGGCTGGTGTGGGAAAGGATGAAGCTGCTGGTTGAGCCAACAGCAGGCGTGGGACTGGCGGCCGTGCTCTCGGAGCAGTTCCAGGCAGTCCCCCGGGACGTGCAGAACGTTTGCATCGTGCTGTGTGGGGGAAACGTGGACCTGAGATCCCTGACCTGGCTCACAGACCTCTCTGGGAAAGCAGAATGAGGATGGAGCGGCGTTTCATGGAATGAAAACCTCACTCTGAATTTGTGCGGTGGTTTGTGCGCTATTAAAAACAGATCAAGTCTGAACGTTTGGGAGTTTTTGTGGAGGGACAAGGGCAGCTGGCACTGGTCTCGGTGGGGGGCCTGGAAACAAAGCACTGCCTGTTCTCCCCTCCCCAGCTGCCTTGCTCTGGCCCAGGCCTCCAGAGAGCTGCACTCAGTCACCCTCCCCAGCTGCTACTTGGCTCTTCTTTCTCAGCATCACAGGAACTGCCAGCAAACTCCTCCACACAGCAAAATCCCCACACACCCCACGTGGCAGGGCATGAGGGACTGGAACAATCCCAGTGGGTTCAGTGGACAAGGGGTGCACACAGCCTCCTGGCCACCACCACGACAGAGGCACTTAGGCATTTTTGACATTTTCCATTAAAATAAATAGCTATAGCTGGTACCTGAGCAGCAGCTGCCCCTGTACAGACCCCAGCAGTAACACGTCCAAGGCATCAGTGCTGTCCTCACAGTGCATGGGCCAACAGCATCCAGGGAGCCAAGGCACAAACTCCAGCCATGCTGGAGACTCATTCCATCTCCACCTCCTGCTCTGGCAGTGCACTCTCACTCCTCACCCACGGCACAGGCTCTGGGACATGAGGGTCATAAGTCCATTTGGGAAACACGCGCTTGTAGAGGTTCAGCAGCACTGTGTCCTGGGACTTGAGCTGCCCATCAAAGTGGCACTTCATGTGCCCATGGGTCCCTAGGCAGAGGGCAGAAGAGGCCATTAGCAGTCTCTCAGGCACAGGAGGATCACACCATGCCAGCAACAAGAGATAAACACCAAATCTAACCTACCTAATGGCTCCTTGATGTGCCCTCTGCGTCCCCACTTTGTCCTCAGCTCCACGGGCTTGAACCACATCACATCCTCTGGAGATGGAAACACAAAAGGCAGGTAAGGAACAGGCTGTGCTGCACCAACATAACCACAGGGACAGAACATCCAGAACCCCTCCTCCCACCAGAGACCAGCTGTACCTCTGTTGAAGAACATGTATCGCACGACAGCTGTCTTGGTGAAGATCTTGAAGGGGTGGCCACTGAGCACCAGGCGCTTGATGACAATCCTGTCGGGGTCCACGGAGAGCAGGGAGCCCGTGGCAATGAGGTCGTGCATTCCTGCGAGGCAGAGTCACCAATGCACCAGGGCAGGTGCCTCCATCACCCCCTCCCCACCACAAACCCCTTCCCCAAAGGGCTGCAGGCCCAGAGCAACCCCACAGCAGGGACAGACAAGTGACAACAGGGATGGAGATGAGCTCATCTCAAACAGCAGGAAGGGAACAGCTTTTTCAAGTCATGCTTTCTGGAGAGATGCACTTGTAAGCAGGGTATGGGGACAGTTTGTTTACCAGGCATCACCTCCTCAGCATTTATCAACTCACCATTACTTCTTTGTTTGAAAAGCAGCACTGAGGCAGGAGGGAAAGTGATGGGAGCGTACACAGTCACCACCAGGGCAGCATCTGGGCGCAGGAAACGCTCCAGCTTGTGCTTATCAGCTAGGACAGAACAGAAAGGTCAAGAGCAGCCCTCAGAGTTGTGGGAAACCCCAGAGCTCATTCTTCCCTGTTCAACAAACACCCCTCCTTTGCTGGCACTGAGTATCTGGGAATGAAGGTGATCCTCTGGCACGGAACCTGGACCTTGCCTGGATCAGTGAACCACCTTTCCCAAGCCATTCTACTCCCCATGATTTAGTGCCTGCCCTGGAAGCCTCAGAGCCTAGGAGTGAGTCTTCACAAGAATCCTTCAGCCAGGTTCAGACACCACGGCTAAGACATCACAGGCTTCCTGCTCCAGAACTCCCAACCCCACTCCTGCTGTAGCCAGTCCCTGACAAACCTGAGGTGTGCTGGGAGAACAGGGGGGATGCTCGGAAGCGCCTGAACCCGCAGTGGAAGATCAGCTCCTCCTTGGCCCTCACTGGCTGGCTGTTGCCAGGATGCCTACGCACCAGGAAGTTCAACACGGACATCTGGAAGAGGCAGCACAGTCAGGGGCTGCTGGCAGGGGATGGTGGGCAGCAGAAAACAACAGGACACTGCAGCAGAGATGAATGTCCACAAAAATGGGGTCCCAAAAGGTCACTGGTCACCAGTGCCAGGCTCAGACAGTTTCTGCTAACACCCCCCCAGCAGCTTCTGTGTGCCTCAACCTGCTCTGAAACAGGAGCAATGTGGGGAGATTTCAGCCCAAACCTTCCCCAAGCCATGCAGCCTGAAGGAACAGGGAGCTGCACATCCCTCCAAGTGTCATGGTTACCAAGGTATATCCCTTGTGTTCACCTTTTGTTCGTGGGGAAGCAGTGAGAACAGGACCAGGGGTTTCCCCTCCTTGAAGCTGTCCATCACCGAGACAGGGACATTGCAGACATGAAGTGTAACGTACCAGCCCACCTGCCAAGACAGGAGCAGTTGTGAACACTTCTCTCAACAACAAAAAAAAAGTGTCAGAAGATGTGCCTGGATTAGGGAGAGAATCCAGGAGAAAACTGTCTGAACTTAGAGCTTCATGCTAAGAACCAGCTGGCTGAAAGATCCACCCAACCAGCTCCCTGAAAAGTCACTCCTACTGGGAGCAAAGGAACACAATAGGGAAAAAGATCAGCAAAAGGGAATTACCAAAGCTCCCTCAGTCTCTTCCTTCTCTATTTGCCTGAAGAGGTTCTTTCTGGCTCGGGAGAAGTCCTGGAACTGGAAGATCCTGGCATAATCCCTTGGAAGATTCTCTTTGGGGTCCCAAGGAGAAGTCCGGAAGCTTTTCAGCCCCCGGTACTTCTGGAATCTTGAGAACAGAGAGCAGGAAAGAAAAATTGCTTCATCAACTGAGGTGAATCCCATCCTTCAGCACCAGCTGTGGTCTGCAGGGCCTCACACCCTCAGGGCGGACAAAGGGTGCCAAGCAAACATTAGCCCTCAGGAAAGATGTCGGTGCAAAGAGAGCTAAAACCAGCAGCCAAATCCCCAAACGACCTGTCCTTGCCTCAGGGCCATCCTCCTCTCTCTGCCAGGTCAGGACCCAGCTCTCCCTGCCTACTAGTGCCTGCTCTGGAAGCCTCAGAGCCAAAAAGAATCTTCACAAGAGTCCTTCAGCCAGGTTCAGACACCACGGCTAAGACATCACAGGCTTCCTCACCAAATTAAACAGAAAGGCACCTTCCAGCTCCTCTCCCAGGAAATCATCCCAGTTCTTACCTGACTCTGGCAGGCACATCCCGTGGCGTGTCCACCTCATCTGGAAACATCTCATCCATTCTCTCCTGCTTGTATCTCTCCAGCATCTGTTCATCCTCCTCCATCTTCTCGTCGTACTGGTCATCCCGCAGGCATTCGGACACGGTCATGGTCTCGCTCTCCTCCTCCCCAGCTTCCTCCTCACTGCTCTCCCCCTCCTGGCACAGGGCAGCACAGAGCCTGTGAGCACACAGAGCTGTGCATGCAGCACTGGGTGTGCTCACATTGTGGGATTTGGGACCCCAGCCCATCATTTTGGGGTCTAACAGGCCAAAGAAGCAATGTGATACATGCAGGGATTTAACAGTGGAGATCCAGGCAAGTCCTGGCTCTGCACCATGCCCTTGCATAGACAAAGCAAGCTGGAAGGACAGAATCTTTCCAGAACATGCAATAATGGCCTGGAGATCACCTGTACTATCAGCTCTTGGAGGTACCTGAGAAACTGCCTCTTCCATCAGATCATCATCCATGTCATCATCTTCGTCGTCATCATCATCATCATCTTTCTCACTGCCTTCTTCTCCATCATCCACAATCCAGGCAGCCTGGTACTTGGACGTGCCTTTGGGGACCTTCACCACCCTCCTGTTTGCCTTCAGAGAATCTGTAGGATTCCCACCAGTGGTTAGTACAGGAACAGCTCTCCTTCCCCTCAGCAACATTTACACCAGGACAGCCAAAACCAGATCTAGACTAGAATTGCTTTTTTTTTCCAGCACAGAATTTGTCAGGACAGCTAAAATCTGCTAACTTGCCAGGCAAACCTGCTGGCCACCTGATGGGACTGGGGACGGAAGCCATCCCAACTAAGATGTTTCTTCACAGCCACCCTGATGACTGAAGTTTGTAACAACCCTCCTAAGAGGAACAAGGACGAGATAAGAACTATTGCTTCTGCTCACCCTCTGCTTCCTGCAGCTCTTCTTCAGTGGGCCACGTCTGCTCCCCTTCCATGGGATCAGGAACCACTTCTGACTGCAGAGACTCCTGCTTGCTTGGATCTGCCTTCATCAGCACCTTGACATCTTCCTCCATCTCAACAGCACCATTTCCAGAGTCATCCTGAAGGGGAAAAGCAGAGCTCCTAGATCTGAACACACCTAAAAGCTTGCAGTCAGTCTCAGGTGAAACTCCCTTCACGATGTTGTGATGTAACTTCCATTACACACTGCAGGCACAGAACCTCAGCCCAGCAGCAGAGCACAGACAAAACTCCCTCTCCCCTCTCCTCACCCCCATACCCCCAGCTGTATTTCCCCCAATGAAAGTTTAGAAACCTTGTGTTCTAAAAGAACTGGCAAAGCTCTCACCCCACACACCTGAACCTCCATGTCCTGACTCCTCTTCTGTCCCTTAAGCACCCGTGGGTTCAAGGAGAGCGGGTCAGGGGGAGCATCCACCTGGCTCAGCTGGAAGTCCCCGTGCCCCACGATGTGCACCAGGCTGTTCACGTTGAGGGTCTGTCCCCGGACAAAGCCTGACACCTTCAGGGTCCCAAGCAGGTGGCTGTCCTGGCTGGGCACAAACTCAGCAGCACGGGCCAGCAGGTGAGCGCGGCGGGCCCGGAAAGCCAGGTGCCTCTGCTTCTGGGAGCTGAGGTGCCTCAGGAGCAGAGAGCATTCCTGCTCCGTGTTCAGTGGGAACAGCTTGGCCTCGGGAAAACGCTTCTCTATGCATTTGGAGAGTTTCTTCCTGGCATCTATCCTCTTCTTAGGGGGCAGGTCGGTGCCTCCCGGGACAGCCAAAGCTGGTGAGCAGAGAACAGAGCTCAGATAAAATCTTAAACCTTCTGCTGTTCTTTTTACCAAACACAGGCAAATATTTGGATGTCAGCAGCCCAAATGGCCAGATTTCCACCACAGGTACAAAGGGAGTTAAGGGAGTTTCACTCATCTCAATGGTGCCCAACAGGGCAAGGAGCAATGGCCATAAACTGAAAGAACTTCCACCCCAACATAAGAGAAAAATTATTTTCACTGAAGGTGACAGAGCCCTGAAATTTAATTACTGTGACACTCAATCTCAATTGAGCACCCCCAGAAACCCAAAACATTTCTCACCATAACTGGGGAGCCCCTGTGCAAAGAGGCAGGAGAGGCAGTGTTCCCCTGCACTGTCCCAGCCATCCACAGGGTCCAGGATGAACAGCAGGGAGTCAGCAACCTTGGCAAGGTCTAAAACAGCGTGGAGATCCCCTGCACCCAAAACACCTCCATTAGTGGGGCTGCCAGAGGCACCAGAACCAAGAACCCAACCAACAGCAGCTCCTCCTCACCTGGCTGGGCTGTGACAAAGCGCCAGCGCTGCTTGAGCCGGGGGCAGAGCAGGGCAAAGCCACCAGCTCCGCCCTCATCTGCGCGCACAGCGGCCGAGTCCTGGCTCTGCAGCAGCCGCAGCGAGTCCTGGGCCGCGGCCCTGCTGTGCAGCAGCACCACAACCACGAGGTGCGGGGGCCCGTCCCTGCTGCCGAGGCTGCGCTTCTCCGCCAGCACCTGCGGGGACCCGGGCAGCGCCTGAATGCCGAGCCGAGCGCGGCTTCTCTCCCGCCCCAGACCAAGGCCAGGCTCCCCCACACCGCAGCCCGAACGCTCCCGCTCCGTAATGCTCCGTTTGACCCGAACCGGGCCCGGCAGCCGCTCGTTCTCCCCGCAAAGGCCCGAAGCGGCTCGGCTGCATCGCCCACGCCCAGACCCCAATTCAAGCCCCCTCGGCAGAGACTCGAACCGAGCCGTTTCCCGCTCCCCGGCAACAACCGGCCCGGTTTCCCCGGTGTCTCACCGCCTCCTTGCGCTGCCGGCGCAGCTGCAGCGCCTGATGCCGCCGGTCCACCCTGCTCAGGTCGCGGAGCCGCCGGCGGGGCTGGGCCTTGACGGGGACGCGGCCTAGAGTGGGGGGGAAGAGAACGGTCAGGGCTGGCCGAGAGCGGCGGGGAACCCGCGGGGCGCCCGTCCCGCCTCACCTCCAGCGCGGCGCTGCGAGGACCCGCTGTGCTTGCCGCCCTTGTGCGCCTTGTTCTGCTGCTTGAGCGGCCCGGGCCGGTGCGCGCCCGCCGCCGCCATCACCATGCTGCCGCCTCGCCGCCGCCGCCTCGGCGCGGCCGCCGTGCGTCACTTCCGGCGCGACGGGGACTCGTCGGGGATCCACGTGGGCAGCGAGAGGGACGGGACGGGACCGGGACCGGGACCGGGACCAGGAAAAGAGCCCCGAGAAAGGGCAGGGGCGAGCCCCGGGGCGGGGAGGGAAGAGCAGCGGGGTTGGTGGCCGTAGCGCCGCCGGGCAATGAGAGGCGGGAGGCAGAGGCGTTCGTTCAGCGCTTTATTGGTTGGTTCTTTGTACAGGTATTTACACAGAGAGCGGGACGGGGCTCGGCCGCGCTCCGGGAAGGGACCGGGGGGATGAAGCGGTTGGGGAAAGGCCCTGCCGAGCCTCTGGCATCTCGCCCAGGCGCCAGGACAGGACGGCAAAGCCTGCTGGAGTGGAAACATTCCTCGCGTGCCCCGGTGTGTGACCTCGGTCTTGGCAATGATTATCCAGGCAGGAATGCCCGTTCCTAGGCAGCCCGATGGAACATCACCCCAAACCCCAGCAGAGCCCGCCCCGGCATCACTCCATCCCTCAGGGGTGGAGCAGCGAGGTCAAACATTCGCAGGGGTGTTGCAATCGCCAGGAAAGCTGAAGCAAGCCGAGGGAGGGGCAGGACAGCTGCATGGGAAGGGAGAAGCAGGTTCCTGCAGGTTCCTGCTGCCTCTGAACTCGAGGCATCTTCCCACCTCCTCCTCCTGAGAGGAAATCAGCATGACAGCAGCCATGTGGGGTTGTCAGCTGTGAACGGTCTTTAGGGATCCTTTTCTACCCCTAAAAGCAGACTGGCTGTTTAAACCTTTGAAAGTCTAAATTTAAGCACGTTACTACCTGAGAGGAAGGAAGACACAAAACTGAAGAGACAGGTGAAGATAAACACTGCAGTGATTGAGTCTCTCTAAACAGCAATCCACTGCCTGTGGGACAGCATGAGAGTGTCCCCCCAAGGCTGCCTGCCCACAGCACTGCCTCAGCTCTGCCTTGCAGAGCCAAAGGCAAACAGGCTGCTCAGAGGGGGTTCCAGGGAAGAGGGAATAACTGGGATACTTCTAAATCAAGGAAAACATCCCATGGGTTAGTTACATCTTGTCATTTAAGCAAGACTAGGGAAAGGAGGAAGGTTGGAAACTCTTCCTAGGATTATCACAAGCCAAGTACTCCTGCCTCAGAGTCATGCACAAGTCTGGATACCCAGAGGCAGCCAGAAGGCTCCCACACCACGGGGGCTGATGATCTTTGCAATCCTCAGAGCTGCTCAGGCTTTCCCACACATCCAAACACTGTCATCTTACAGGGATTTCACAGTCCTGCAGGGCCCTCCAGACACATGCCACCAAAAAATCACAACCTGCCAAGCAGAGCAAGCAGGAGCAGAAAGCCAAGCACTGCCTCACAGCATTCCAGGTGAAAACAAGCATTCCTGCCAAAGCAGAAACTAACAAGGAAATATGGATGCAGCCACAGTGTGAGCAGCTGAGATGGAAATCCCTGCAGCAAAGCAAAGCCCTGGCAGGGGAAGGGCTCCCCTCAGCTCTCCTGTACCATCACAGCACAGAGCCTGGTGCTCTGCACACACAGGACACTGTGACAGCACCACATGTCACCCACCTTGTCCCCTCTGCACCCTCTTCTCCAAAAAGAACAGGTTCTGTATCACAGCACAAAGCCCAGAGAAGCTGTGCCATGAGTGGAGCTCACAGGCTGCTCTAACCCTGGCTGAATCCCAAAAAGCAGCTGCACTGCAGGAAAGCTGAGCTCACATTCCTGTTCCCTAAAGGAGGAGCAGCTGCTTCTGAAGCAGCAAGAACTCTGGGCTGACTCCACACGGGGGGAGCAACAAGCTGGGACAGGCTGGATGCAAAGCCACGGCCTTGGCTTAGGAAGGAAGACTGGTTGCAACTGGAAGGGCCAGTTTATTAGAGAAACCTCACATTGCAGAGAAGTCACAACACATTGGAAAGGGTCCAGTCCTGCTGAGGGGGGCCAGTCTTCTGCAGCAGCACAGATCTACATCCCCCAGCCCCAAAAACCCAGCAGGTGCCACAGAGGGAAGGGTTACCTGGAACACAGCTTATGTTTTACAAGCAGCCTGAGAGAAGAGCCAGTAGTAAAGTTCCAGAAAAAGCCTCCCTGGCAGACAACAGTTAAAACAAAAATGGTTTAAAATGTTTAAAAGCTCTGTGTTCTTGGCTGCAGCATAAAGGGGAGGCAAAGGTCTACAGCACACACAGGCCTCCGTGGCTCTGGGCACTCTGATCTACCAGTGAAGGCCGGAGGGAGGGGTCTTCTCATCTTTGTTGCTTTCCAGGGAAAAGGGTGGGATTCGGACATCAAAGTGGGAGCCATCAGGCCTCTCAAATCGAAAAGTGCCCCTGCAAAAATAACGGCAGAGGTCACACTGAGGCCAGGGACAAACACACCTAGGAAGCATCAGCAAAAAGGTAAAACCTGAGCTCTTCCACACCCTGGGGGTCCAGCAGCAAGGCTGGTCCAGCAGCAAGGACATGGCCTCAGCTGCAAACATCTGCTGCCAAGGTAACTCATTTGTGGAGGACTCCTGGGCAGTTGAACAGCACATCCCCAACACATTTCCTGCACAAAGCTGTGATGATTGCAGCCCACAGGAGTCAAGCACCCTGCATGCACCTGCAGTGGTGTTTACCCAACTCCCACTCCCCAGCAGACAGAGCCATCTGAGCTATTTTTACAGACTGGCCACACGTAAATTCATTTGTGTTTCTTGGCAGGAGCTCCACTGGTTGTCTATGACATTAAGAAATCCCATCACAGGTGTCATTTGGAACAGCTTCAGCTTTGCATTTCAGAGCTGAACCTGCCTGTCCTGGTACAACCATTTGTTTACTGCTCTGAACTATAGACAACTGTCCTGCAGAACACAACAAGAGGGTTGTGGAGATAAATTAACAGGTTCTCAGGACAGAGAGGACACAACTGAACACCAGAAGTCAAGCTGAGCAGCTTCTGAGCTGCAGAACCTTTGTCTCTTTGTCTTTAGGATGTATGCAGAGAGGGAAAATCTACTAGACCATCTGGTTTTATTCCCCAGGGCATCCATTCAGGCAATTCAAAACACTTCACATGGCAAACAAGGTATGCCCTATATGCAAAGAGCTGCTCTCCTGCTTTTCCCAACTCAAATGCAACCTAACTTTGAAGGAGATTTCCTTAAAAAAATGCAGAAGGACCTGTCATACAGAAGGCAAGAGGTGGCTGTGCAATCCTTGTCCACACAGAGGTGGCACTAAATGTGCTAACCCAGCCAAAAGGCAAATAAAGGGAAGCTGTTTCTACCCCCAGGCACAGGAAAAGAACTCAGGTGGGCACTTCCCTCCTGCAGTTACAGAAGAAGAAACTGAAACACCAGTTAGACTGAAGTCCTTACCTGGTCTAAACTGGGAAAACCCTTGTATGCCAATTCCTGACACAGAAGTGCACAGGGATGGAGTTAAAGCCCAATCCTCTCTCAAGAAAGGAGATGCCAGAGCACACACCCCTGCTGCTGAAGGAATCACCAGCACAAGGCCTTGGCTCTTGCACCAAGGACAAAAGGAGTAACTGCTTCATGTCTTTAAATCCAGTCTAGCACAGACCACAGCAGGAGGAGAAATTACCCTGGATACCCTTCTGGTGCAGAGAACCAACAGATCATCTTATCACTAATAGGATACAGCTAGAGAGAAGCTCATTAGATTTTAGCTACCAACTATGCCCTGTCCAGTCCACTTCCACCCAGCTTCCAGCCACAACCCCAGGCTGCAAACTGCACTGCAGCTCACTGCTGGGGGTCCTACACCCCAAACACTGCTGCAGCAATAAGGGCTTCTTTTCTTACCACATGTGACCACTGGATGCCTGCAGGGAGACGTGGCTGCTGTACTGAAATGCTGGCTGTTCTTTGGACAAAACTGGCTCCTGAGGAAACAAGAGACCACTGGGCATCAGCAATTCTACCACAGATAGGCATCAACAGGAAATTTATATTGCACGAAACAAAACCAAACAGAGACCTACACCCCAGCATTTCTCCCAATTACACAGCAAACAATTTGTCCACGGAGTAGCACCAGAATCCTGTTATTATTCCAGTTTTCCAACCACCAGTCATTTAGGATCATCCTCTAATACTCAGTGTGAAGTTTCAGTTCATGCAGACAAACAACAGATGAAAAGCTCACGTGACTTTTTTCACTGCCAGCTCCCCACTCCATCTATTTCAAGTGCCCACTAAGCAATGTGCTGGCAAATCCACACAACTAAGTGAGAGAACTCCAACAAAGGGTCACGTTTCCCAAAAAGAAAGCTGCATGGTACCTACCCTTCCTACAACCCCACGGCCCCGGACTGTCTCCAAGGTGCCAGACAAGCTGAATATCCTCCAGTGCCGTTCTCGCAGCTGCACCACCTCACTGTCCAGGTTCTCCAGGCGAATGCAGTAGCGCCACTGGGCAGAAAGAAGACTCTCATCAAGAGCTGGAATCAGCTGCAACCAGTTGATAACCTACAGCTGGTACTGGGAAACAGTTGCCAGGCAAAGGCTACTCTCCCTCAAAGCTTATCACGCTGCAGTGATGCCACAGCAAATTAACTCCTTCCCTTTAGCTGCTCCGTGATACAAAAGACACTTACCCAGTAGACATGGGAATTCTGGGCTTCCTGTCAAGAGAAACAAAAGACTTTAGCAGCTGCCCTTGGACACGTGGTGCCAAAAACCTCTTCAGCTGTCACCACAGCACCAGCACAGGGGCTCTCACTCTGTGCCAGGGTGACGCAGACAACTCACATGAGCACAGACAGCTGCTCTCTGAGGCCTTCCCTCAGCAGAGCCTGGCACTGGTAATTGTGAGGAGCACGTGACAACCCCCAGGGTTCATCTCCATGTTAATTACGCACTTTCTACAGATCTAAAACCACCCTTTTCCTTGCCTTTGGGCACCTGTTTTTCTGACAGACATCAGCTGCACTCCACAAAAGCTGCAAATCCACACCAAAACGTGC